TGATGGTTATTTGAAGACGAAATGACGATGACGATGATGAATGAAGACGAAGGTGAAGAAGATCATTATCAGGATGATTACTACAGTGATGATGATGATGATGATGATAATAGTGACGTCACTGATTTAAATGATGAAAAAGAAGTTGACGACGACGATGATGACGATGGTAAGGTGAGTTATGGGCGCGTTATTAATGATGATGATGCCGACCTATTTGACAAAACATACGTCCGCGTTCAAAATACTAATAAAAACAACAACAACAACAACAAAAGAAACAACAACAACAGCAACAACAACAAAAATAATAATAACAATGTTCACATTAATAATAATGGTGAGGAATTTGAGGAAGATATAAGCAACGTCATCATTATAAGAAATGTCACGAATGACGTTGGAAATGTTTTCGGCATTAATAACAGTAACAACAACAACAACAACAACGACAACAACAGCAACACCACCAACAACAATAACAACAACAACAACAACAAAATCGACATCAACAACAACAACATCAGCAGCAGCGCCCACAATCGCTTCAAGCGTTCAAACGTAATCACAACTGATCATACAAAGTTTCAGTGGGACGAACAAAAATATTTTCCTTACAATAAAAACAAAAACAACAACAACGTCAACTACAAAAGAGATCTCAATAACAACAGCAACAACAACAACAACAACAACGACAACAACAACAACAATAATGGCGACATCAACTTAAATTATTTTTATTACAACGATGGCTTCAACAAAAACATCAACAACACTCTTTCCTACTATCTTGACGACATTAACAATGACATTAACGCCGATTATAACGACGAAAAAAAGTTCCAACACCCAAGCAATCATCCACAACATCATCAAAAATCGCAACAGCATAAAAATCGCCACAAACAACAGCACCTCTCAACATACAAACGCAGACAAAAAACAACACCACCAACAACAACAACACCACTAACGACAACCACAACAGCCACCAGCCACAACTACTACAGCCAAGGCAGCGACTACTACAGCCACTACGGCTACGTTTACGACGACGATTTCGTCAGGCCGCAAGAGAAGCAGCTGATAAATGACTTACTGAAAAATTATGAAGACATTGGAATAGTCGGAAGGCCCGTCGTCAACACTTCGGAAACAATAAAAGTAAAAATAATTCCATAACTAGTATAGCATTATTACATTCAAAGGCCAATCTTGTCAATTTTGAAGGAGAGGGGGTTAAAATTTGACGGGGGACTACAATTTGACTGGGGCGGGCAAAACTTGAATTCACCTGCCTTCTTTTTATATTTTATATGAACATCGGGAAAATGTCTTTCCCGTTTAAATCGGCGCTTTTAGGCGTAGAAGTATTAAAAATGTATATATATGTTTGTTAAATTCTTAAATATTACAATACAACAAACGGATTACATTATATTAATAGTGATATTTCCATTGATTTTTCAATATCAACCTCTTTATTTATTTTTTTAATCCATATTATTCACAAAAAAGTGAAAGAGTCAGCTTAGCAGTGAATGCTTATCTAGAGCTGACTCTCATTTCTATCTCAAACATTTCCAACAAATTTTTTTTGCCAAGAATTAACCATTTTACATATTTTAAATATTCACGTAATAATAATAATGCCATTATTATAATTTTAATACAAATTATTATTATATTATAAATTATGATAATAATTATGACACTTATTATAGGTTAGATTCGGGATAGCTCTGATTCAAATCCTGGACATTGAAGAAACGAATCAAGTTTTAACTACCAACATATGGTGCAGATACGTAAGTTCTGAGAAGGATCATAAAAATTACAAATTTCGTTACTACTACTACTACTACTACTACTACTACTACTACTACTACTACTACTACTACTACTACTACTAATACTACTATTACTACTACTACTACTACTACTACTACACTACTACTACTACTACTACTATTACTACTACTACTACTACTACTATGGCTGCTACTGCTACTACTGTTGCTTCTACTACTACAGTTACTATAAGACTAGACCGTAACAACAACAAACATTAGTGAAGGAAGGATCACGATGGTAGGACTGATAGTGACGATGATGATTATGATGACGTCATACTGTGACGTCATCATATGACGCTGGAGTGCTGCTGACTTTTCGTCTAATTGCTTTTGAATGAACGTTGCTAACCTCTTTAATGGCGTCACGTTGTTGATGATGATGATGTTGAGGTTGATGATGGTACTGACGACGATGACATGATGATGATAGTACTGATGACGATGACATGATGATGATAATCACCTTAGTGAAATGTCGATGATGAGGATGATTATGATGATGTCATAATAGTAATAATAATAACGACGTCAAGATGACGTCATAGTGACGTCACAATGATGTTGATCCTAACTTTTTATGTTTAAACGTAGAAGTGGAATGATACTCTCCTCCAATGGGATCCGAAAGATTATGGTGGGATCAGCACTGTTCGAGTCCCAGTTACGAAGATATGGAAACCCGATGTTGTCCTATATAATTTGTGAGATTTATAATTTCATTGTTGTTGCTGTTGAACCAACGAACGTACGAACGAATGAACTAACGAATGAACAATTTAACTATAGCAAACAACTAATAAATTGAAAGAACAAACTAATTAAGAAGTATCAAAAATAGATATATAACGATAGATAGATAGTTAGATAGATAGAGAAGAGGATATAAATAGATAAAATGAAGAAAAGCGAAAGAAAGAGAGATAGATAGAGAGAGAGAGAGAGAGAGAGAGAGAGAGAGAGAGAGAGGTAGAGAAAAGACAACGAGAGTGATAAAAAATAATTGCAAAAGTTCCCCTCTTCCTGTTATTATTCCCCTTTCAAATTGTGAACATAAAATAACACTGGGATGAATTTTTTTGATTTTAAGTTCTTTTAATTTAATTTATCGTCCCAAAAAAATGCTATTTTGTTTATTAGGTTTTACATAAAAAGAGAGAGAGAGAGAGAAAGAGAAAGAGAGAGAAAGAGAGAGAAAGAGAATTTTATCGTTTTAGGTATTAGCGAGAGTATTAGAAGGTTTTGTTTGGTAACTTTTTCCTTTATCTCCTTACTCATTCTCATCTTTTTTTCATTTTTTTGGCATTCCCTCACTCATTCTCTCATTCATTTTTTTCATTTTTATCTATTTTTTATTCAACTATTCTCAAATTATCTCATTATTTCGTTAATTATTGGCGTGGTTCTTTCTTTAGTTCATAGCTATTTGTTCGGTCATTCATTCCTCCGTTCATTCATTCATTCATCATTCATTCATTCATTCATTGAATGTTCGTTCAATCATTTTTTCATTTTTTTTTCATCTTTTTTCATTCTCTCATTCGATTTTCTTTTTTCCCCTTTCATATTACACTGTAAACTGTAAATAATAAGGCACAACACTGCAGAGACACGATCCGTTGAAACTCAACTCTTGTTTGAAATTTAGGTTGCTGTTGTTGTTGTTGTTTTTAAAAGAGAGAGAGAGAGAGAGAGAGAGAGAAAGAAAGAGAGAGAGAGAGAGAAAGAGAGAGAAAGAGAAAGAAAAACTTAATAAGCAGTCGTGAATTTTTTCATATTTTCATTATTAATAATGATGATGAAGGTGCTTTATCATCGTTATTTATCACCATCATCATCGTCATTTACATCAGCATCATTATCATCACTTCCACCACCATCTCATCATCATTACCATCATCATTAGCCTCATCATCATTATCATCATCGACGTCCCGTGTCTCCGCATTTCGCTTACATAATTCCTCCAAATAAATGAGTCCAGTCTGCACTGGAAACATTCACACATACACACACACATACACACACACATACACATACACACACACATGCATACACACACGCACACATACATTTACACAGACGTGTATATGGCACGTTTTACAGATAAGTCGATACATGGCTTCATATGTACGTGCGTACGTTTGCATTCATTTATACGAAACGAAACGAAATAATTTATTTGACCTCAATAAAGAATATAAGGTGCAGGTTGATTGTGAGGAGTTATTATAAAACTCATCGAGCACAGCCACCTAAGCCAAAAACTTCAGAATCTCTGAATGAAATATGTTAATCTTCAGATGTTACTAATTGATTACAAAAACAAAATCATCGGGCACAGCCATCAAACAAAAAACTTCAGAATCTCTAAATGTTATATATTAAGTTCACGGTGTTACTAGTTGTTCGTAAAAATAAAATTATCGAGTACCACAAAAAACTTCAGATTCTCTAATTGGAGTATATTATATTTACGGTGTTACTAACTGTTCATAAAAATATTATCATCGTGCACCACAAAAAACTTCAGATTCTCTAAATGGAATGTATTAGCTTTGAGATGTTACTAATTGATCCTAATAATAACTTAGGTCTATATTTCTCTATATACAAAACTGCATATAGAATACCTGATTGAATCTATCTATATAAGCTATAGATAGAAGAAAATAGGATCACATACGTATATCAAAATACACCCGAATGCACATAAATACACACAAACACACACATACATACGTTTATAAAGCACACACACACACACAAACAGACACACACATACACACATATTTAGGATTCAAACTATCTGATGTACAGTTGTTTAGGATTGTCACAACATTTCTTTATTTTCAATTCAATTTTTCAATCTCTATTACGATGACTTTCAGATGACTGACTATCAAGTTTATTTAACTCGCACACAAAATTAGTGTGAAACGCTAATTTTGTTTCACATTTTAAACAGAAATATACATATACACAGAAACACACACATACACACACAAACACACATATACACACATACATAGGCGTACACAGACACATACAAACGCGCACATTTTTAGTGCCGATACGCGCCTTAAAGAGAACCGAGATGCAATGGCCGTGGTGGAATCGTCTGGCGAGGTACTATGGATACCGGCCGGTATTTTCCTCAGTACCTGCGCCATTGATATTGAGTATTTCCCCTTCGATACACAACAGTGCAGTCTCAAATTTGGATCCTGGACGTACGATGGGTTCAAACTGGATCTCGATTTTTATGACGATAAAGATGAGGTTGGCTTATTTTTCTTTAGCCTATGTATTTATGCATGTATGTATGTATGTATTATGTATGTATGTATTATGTATGTGTGTGTGTGTGTGTGTGTGTATGTATGTATGTATGTATGCAAGTATGTATGTAAGTATGTATGTATGTATGTATGTATGTATGTATGTATGTATGTATGTATGTATGTATGTATGTATGTATGTATGTATGTATGTATGTATGTATGTATGTATGTATGTAAGTATGTATGTAAGTATGTATGTATGTATGTATGTATGTATGTATGTATGTATGTATGTATGTATGTATGTATGTATGTATGTATGTATGTATGTAAGTATGTATGTAAGTATGTATGTATGTATGTATGTATGTATGTATGTATGTATGTATGTATGTATGTATGTATGTATGTATGCTTAGGCATCTACATCATTTTCAACTCTTGTTTAATTCTAATTTTTATTCATTATTTTTTCTTGAGTAACGTTATAACGATGACGATGATGATGACGACGATGATGATGATGACGATCCAACGCTGTTCTGTGTTATTATTAAGACTGTGTTGCGTCCGTCGTTCGACCATGCACGCAGTCACGCCTGAATGAATAAAGAAGGAATGAATGAATGAAGGATGGAGGAATGAATGAATAAATAAATGAATAAAAGAATGATTGAATGAAGGATGGAAAAATGACTGAATGAAGGATGGAGGAATGAATGAATGAATGAATGAATGAATAAAAGAATGATTGAATGAATGACAAAACAAGACATATAAACAAATTGTTGAGAAAAGTTAGAACGATTAAACCAATTTGAAAAAGACAGAATGAATAATAAAATAAATGAATGGATGGAACGAACATATGAATGAATAAATAGATAAATGAATGAATGAATGAATAAATGAATGAACGAATGAACGAACGAACGAATGAATGAATGAATGCGTTGCCGCCCTATTTGCCGTTGTTCATGTGCAAGTATTTCATTGAAATAGAGATAAAACCTGTTCATTTAATTACCTAACTTCACCATCCATTAAATGTGGACCCCAAATACATCCATCCATCCATCCATCCATCCATCCATCCATCCATCCATCCATCCATCCATCCATCCATCCATCCATCCATCCATCCATCCATCCATCCATCCATCCATCCATCCATCCATCCATCCATCCATCCATCCATCCATCCATCCATCCATCCATCCATCCATCCATCCATCCATCCATCCATCCATCCATCCATACAGACAGACAGACAAACATACATACAACTACACAAACACACATACATACATGCATACATGCATGCATACATATTGTTAAACCTAGTATATAAATTTTATTGGATCCCTTCAGCTTGGTTCAATACGTTTCATGATTTTATCCATTTTATTTATTATCAGACCAACAGCATGTACGTACGTGTATGTATGTATGTATGTATGTATCTAAATGCATACGTGCATGTTTGTTTGTTTGTATGTGTGTACGTATGTATGTGTGTATCACTTTCTTTTTCTCTCTCTCTCTCTCTCTCTCTCTTTCTGTGTCTGTGTGTGTGTGTCTATTACAGTATCCAACCAATCCACCCATGGTCCAGTATATAATTTGCCATGAGAGGGCATTCAGTAGCGATCAGTTATTTGTCTTCCTCCGTGATAGATGACTTTTCTATGTATGAACAAACAAGAACGAAAAACATAAAAACAAAGAATAAACAACGATGGGGGGAGGGGAATGTTGTTTCAAGTACATCTGTTGATGTATAGTGGAGAAAATTTACACAAAGACAACTGACTATGACGTAGTCTGTTGACGTTGCGATTGTGTGGTTGCGTCAGCAGCTACAGTGGCGTCTGATTGCCCCAGCGAATTTATAACGTATTACATTGGGGTCTCGCTCTTTTTGGCACTCTCTCCATCAAATATGTATACTCTCTCTCTTTTTTTCTTATATTTTTTACTTTCTTTTTGCTTGTTTGAGTTTTTCTATAAGTTTTTTTACCCCGTTTTTATCTTTCTCTATCTTTCTATTTTCTCTTTCTTTTCTCTTTTTTTTCTCTTCCTCTCTCTCTCTCTTTTTCCTCTCTCTTTCAGACCATCAGTTTGTCTTTTCTCATTATTTTTAAAGTGCGTCTAAGCATGCATGCATGCATATAAATCAAAAGGTACACGAACGTATAAACATGTGATCATATCTGAGTGTACGTGTGCGTACGTGTGTGCGTACGTGTGTACGTGTGTGCGTACGTGTGTGCGTGCGTACGTGCTTATAATTTCATGCTCCACCTAATCTTTATTGTGGAGTTGTGCGATATTTCAATCGACATCGTTATCATCTCTATTATCTTTATTATTTATCGTCACCACCACCACCATCATCATCACCATCATCACCCCCATAATCATCATCATCACCACCACCATCATCATCATCACCATCATCATTGTCGTCGTCAGATCGATACGTCCAGTTATATGGCAAGCAACGAATGGAAGCTGCTGGCCTACCCGGGTCAGAAGAACCTGCGCAAATACAACTGCTGCGAAGAACCCTACCCCGACCTGACCTTCACGGTCAAGGTCAAACGAATCGCCATCTTTTATTCGTTAGTCTTGATGACGACGACGATGATAATAACGACAAAATCAATGATGATGTCGATGTAATGGTAATAACAACAACAACAACAACAACAACATTAACAACAACAACAACATTAACAACAACAACAACATAACAACAACAGT